TGGTTCCTAATAAGGAATTATTTGAACCTCCAGGGAACAGTTGGTAGTGTCTAGAGACATTTTGGATTGTCACAGTTGTAGAGTGGTCCCATTGGCACATAACAGGTGACACTATAGATAGAAACTATGGGTACTGCCAAACAACCTGTGATGCACAAATAGCCCCCAACCCAAACTCAATGGCTCACTTTTGTCTAGTAAATGAGTCAATTGAAATGTGATATGTATTTTAAGCAGCAAGGAAGTGAGTTTATAGAGGTTGCCCATCCAATAGCTACATCTTGCTTTTTTTCTTTCACAGTAATAAAGGTTGGGACCGTATTCCAGAGTGGAAGCACTGCATTATTTCCTATTTGCAGATGACAGTGACAGTTCACAAAAGAGGAACTCACTAGCTAGTGCTTGAAGAAAAGTTTCTTTGAAATAGAGAATTTCTTTGCCTTTGCTCTGTTTGAACTCCCCAGAAAGAGGCATAGTAGCTTGCTGAGGCCCAGTGGAGGGAAAGATGGCCAGAGACTGGGTTCCCTGATGACTGTGTGGCGTTCTCACACTGTGAAAGCCAATGCAAATTGTAAGTTTTAATTACTGTGCCTAAGAAGTCCATGAAACAAAAGTGCTGCTGATCTACAATCCCCTTGCCCAAAGACAGATAGTTCCTGAGATGCTGGAGGCTATTGTTTATGGGAGATAACAAGCTACATGTTTTTCATTCCCCTAAGTAAGTTTGACCAATCTATACTGGATATACTTGCTCACATGTGGGCAGAAGGTTCACAGACAGGAAGTACATCAGGATGTATACTTGTCCCTGACTGGACCTGATGGGAAATACTTAAACTGTTGTGGAATATTATTCAAAGGTGTGTTACATGTGCTTGTGCAGTGGAATATTTGTTTTAACAATGCAAAGATGTGTTGCATTCCTTTATGTTGAATTTGTTTAACTCTGTGAAGCTGTGATTCTTTGCCTGTCTAAAACACCTTATAGTCTAATAAAGAGCTGAATGGTCAATAGTAAGGCAGGAGAAGGGATAGGCAGGCTGGCAGGCAGAGAGAATAAATAGAAGGAGAAATCTGGGAAGAGATTCGAGGAACAAGAGAACAAGGGAAGGAGGACTCTAGGGAACATCCACCCAGTCACACAGCCAACCACCAAGGAGGACTCTAGGGGACAGCCACCTAGTCACACAGCCAGCCACCAAGTCAGAGTGAAAGTAAGACGTACAGAAGCAAGAAAAGATGAAAGCCCAGAGGCAAAAGATAGATGGGATAATTTAAGTTAAGGAAAGCTGGCTAGAAACAGGCCAAGCTGAAGCCTGGCATTTATAAGTAATAATAAGCCTCTTTGTGTATGATTTATTTGGGAGCTGGGTGGCGGGCCCTCAAAAGAGTAAAGAGTAAAAAGTGTAAAAAAACAAACAACAAACAAACAAAAAAAACCAACCACACAAACTGCTGCAAAACTTGATTCAGGGCCCTTTTTTTTTTTTTTTTTTTTTTTGAAGAAACAGAGCCATCCACCTGGCCAGTACTTAATTAAAACTTGCTTCAAGTTTGGCTTTAAATTATTCTAGTGGTCTTATTTTTTACCAGTGGGATTAACAACACCAGCTCAGTCCTGTTTTTTTCTCTTTTTTTCATACATATTTATGTGAGAAGAAAGAAGTCTTTTTGGTCAGAACAGCTAGAACAGCACTATTGAGGTTTCCTGTTGCATGCACCTGCATCCAGATTTGAGCGGTCCCCAGGGATTCTGATTGGTAGGAAACAGGCTTTCCCGATGAAGGAGTTTACGCACACACAGGTACAGAAACCAGTGCTCTCAGAAAAGAGCGTGCAGCGTGGACCACGCACTGTGCAGTGTTATACCTTCCTGTGATAACTTCTAGAGGAAGGGGACCATGTGGTGTCCCAAGCAGATCTTTAAGAAGGGAGAAAGAGCACGGGACACAGAGCCAGCTCGATCACTTTCTGGCCTAGTCCATTTCCTTGGTCATAGTCAGGTGAGCACGGGCCTTTTATTTTTCTCATGAGAAATTGCCCCAATGTCGTTGTCATAGCATGATGTATGGATTGTGGTGCTGAGGCCACCTCCATGAAGATCATCACTGTATCAGATTGGCCTGATCCCTGCTTTCCCTGAAGCCTCTGCTCTCTGCTCTAATTCCCAGGCTGTCTGGGATATACAGTGGCTCCAATCCTGGTAGGTTCCCTAGGGAAGGGAAGTGCTGGAAGGGAGGGGGTGGCGTGGAGGAGGGAGGGAGACACACAGGATAGAGGGATCTGATGCCTCTGGCCTCTGTCAGCACCAGGCTCGCATTTGGTTCACAGACATACGTGTAGGCAAAGCACCCACATAAGATAAAAAATAGCAACAATAATGGCAGACGAATATTGTTGGGTATTGTGTGAAAATGTATTGCTGTGATTGGTGTAATAAAAGCTGAACGACTGTGCCGTGGTGTCGCACACCTTTAATCCCAGCACTCGGGAGGCAGAGGCAGGCAGATCTCTGTGAGTTTGAGACCAGCCTGGTCTACAAGAGCTAGTTCCAGGACAGCCTCCAAAGCCACAGGGAAACCCTGTCTCAAAAAACAAAAAACAAAACAAAACAAACAAAATCCCAAAAACAAACAAACAAAAAACCAAAACAAAACCCCAAAAACAACAACAAAAAAACCTAAACAGTCAATAGTTAGAAAGTGGTTAGGTGGGACTTCCGGGGACAGAGAGGACTCTAGGAAGAAGGGTGGAGTCCTGAGCCAGACATGGAGAGGAGACAGGTGCAAGATGGAAGAGGGTACCTCCATGTGACAGAACATGAATCAAAAATATGGGTTAAGCACTAACCCCACATCTGACAGAGGGCTGATCTCCAAAATTTACAAAGAACTCAAGAAGCAAGTCTCCAAAACACCAAAGGATCCAGTTAAAAAGTGGGCTACAGAACTAAATAAAGAATTTTCAATAGAGGAGTCTAAAATGGCTGAGAGGCACTTGAGAAAGTACTCAACATCATTAGCCATCCTGGAAATGCAAATCAAAACAACTCTGAGATACCATCTCACTCCTGTCAGAATGGCTAAAATCAAAAACACCAACAACAATTTATGCTGGAGAGGATGTGGTAAAAGGGGAACACTCCTCCATTGCTGGTGGGAGTGCCAACTTGTTCAGCCACTTTGGAAATCAGTATGGAGATTCCTCAGAAAAATGGGAATAAACCTCCACAAGACCCAGCAACTCCACTCTTAGGCATATATCTAAAAGATGCCCATTCATACAACAAGGATGTCTGGTGTGAGCAAGGAAGGCCAGCAGATGGGGGACCTGGAGGATCCCTGCTGTAGCTCCCTCTGCCTGGAAGCCAAGTGCCATGGTCTGGGTAGCTTAAACTTGTCCATGGGCTGGATATTTGCACTAGCTTTGGAGTGTTGTAGGAGATAATAGGGATCATGACCTTTGGAAAGGGCAGGTCTCATTTTCTGTGACTCTAACAAAATGCTTTCAAACTGGGTGCCTTATTTTAAAGAGAGATGATTTAATCCACAGTTTTGGAGGTTCAGGAGGATGAAGCTATAATCGGCTCAGCACTGGTGAGGCCTCAAGAAAGATGGCGCCATAGGGCTGAGGGCGCATGAGAGAATGAGCGAAGAACTCAGTGAATCCAATGCGGCCTGTCCCAAGATCTGACTGAGTGGTGCAATATGCAAGCAAGTAAAGTCGTCCTGAGACACAGGAGAGAGCAGAAGTTAAACAGCATGAGAGAGGAGGTCGAGAGGACTCGTGTGGAAAGAGTGGCTGTGTAGATACAGTGGGTTAAAAGGGGGAGTTCTCAGCTCATTCTGGCTCTCGGATTCCACATGGTGCTGTGTGGCAGAAAGGAGAACGTGGCCTTTGGTCTCTTCGACCTCAGTGTTCATGGGATTCTGGCGTGTGTGTGTGTGTGTGTGTGTGTGTGTGTGTGTGTGTGTGTGTGTGTGTGTGTTTTGGGTTGTAAGACTTCTGAGTAGTTCCTTGGGACACATGAGCTCTGTAGTAGCCTTTCCTGTTTCTCTCATGACCTGTCTTGTTTATGCATCTAGTGGTTCCTGGAAAGGTAGCCAAGCCTTTCTTTTTCACAGCAGGAAGGTCCAGGGAGAACAAAAGAGAGGCAGTAGGAAGAAAACCAGCAGCATCTAGGTCCCCAGGCCAACGACTTGGGCAGTGTGAAAGCCCAGTCCCTCTTCCTGAATAATTCACAAGGAGAAGTCACAATTTCACACAGCTTCTCAAACCCCGAATAACCTTTACTCTCGGTCACCTGGTCACTGCGGAGAAAGGAGCATACTGTTTTCTAGATTACCATGTTCCCTCCCACCACACAGCCAAGGGGGTTGTGAGGGGAGGCAGAGCAAAGAGAACTTTTCCATTCCCACTGTGGATCTTCCCGGCCCACAGGTCAGTCAGTGATGAGGGAGGGAACAGTTTGCCTTGGATATGAGGTTGGTGTCTTCACCCAGACGTGACAGAGTTTTTTAATATCACAAGGTGACCAAGGAAGTTATGGCATCTGCCCAGGGTGTTGCTAATGGATCTGTACCCAGCAGGGGTGGCAGAGTCACAAGGCCCAGCTGAGGCTGATGGGAGAGAAAGCAAATCATTTCCTGTGGTCCCCCGAGTAGCCCAGACTGCTCAGTCAGCTCTTGATGAAGGGTTTCATTTTCCTAGGACTAAGGTGGCATCACCATGCATTTGTGTTTAGATCCACTGCATCTATAAATCGTTAGTTGACGAGTGGCCAAATGGTTTCCCAACAAATCCTCTTCCAGCCCTCCTTCCCTCCTTCCCTTTCTCCTCTCCCTCCCTCCCATCTCACTTCCTCCCTCCCTGTCTTCTCCTCCCTCCCTCCTTTCCTCTTTCTCCTCCTCTCTTTATTCCTCCTTCCCCTCCCTCCCTCTCTCATTCCTTCCTCCCCTCCCTCATTAGACAGAGGCTTCTTTATTTACAATATTGTTTTATTCTGATGAAAGTTACTTCGACTTCACATTACAAATACTCTCGACTTAGTTAATAACCATCAACATAACCTATACTGACGGGAAAAATTGATGCTCTTCCTTGCCAACAACACAGAGCTGCTTAGACTACAGGTCACAGCTTCGCAGCATCTTGAAGGGCGGGTTCCAGGTTTCCTATTTTTCGTGTTTCCCTTCTTCATCATCTGATTCCACGAATGCTTGTCTCCTTAAATGTAACAGGACAGAGTGTTCTCATCTATTAGAGCACTAGCAGGCAAAGTACATAAAGACACAGCCCATCCTGGGTGTGGAGGTACACTAGTCTCAGCAGTTGGGAGGCAGAGGCAGGAGGATCTCTGTGAGTTTGAGAATAGCTTGGTGTATAGCCAGTCCTAAGTCAGTTAGATCTATACAATAAGATGATGTCTCCAAAAAAAATCATCTTGTGATTACTTTAGCTGTATTGGTTGCAGTTGAAATGAATGAGATTCTGGTGGATTTTGAATTTGTAATGGACACTTACCTTGACTTGGTTGTCCAAGTCTATCTAGTATTATAACCCAGGACCTCAGCGAAAATAGCAGCAATTATCCATCTCCCGTTGACTGAGGCCCGAACCCATGCCTGGGCCCTGCTTGTGTGCATTTTGTTCACCTTCTCCCCTCTGCCCTTGTCCTGACCTCTTCCTTGTTTTGGGCTCTGCTAAAGGGATCTCAGGTCTCTATGGCTGGCCTTGCTTCAGTGCCTTTGTTTACTTACACTCAGCGTTTAGTCTGGAAATGACCCCTGGCCTCCCCACAGTCTCTTCATGTTCAGAGTCCACCTGCCTTCCCAAGGAAATGTCACTGGGTCCCCACCCATAGATGCACCCTCCTCTCTTATGACTCATTCATTTTCTCCAATACCCAGGACTTACTAGGGGGCATTCACAGGGCTAGGCCCTAGAATTATGGCAGTAGATATAATGATGATATTTGTAGAAATGAAAGTCTATTAAAGGTAACCGATTCTAAACATGTCAGTTAGAAGGTAGTACGTTTCTTGGAAACAGTAAATGAGGTGTATTCTGAGACAGCTTCTCTGATTAGGTGACTGAGTTTGCAGCTCTACTTCATTCAGTCCTTAACTTTTCTTTAAATATATACTGTCTACTAGAAATAACATTTTCTAATCTTATCTAATAACTGATACTGATTTATATGTAGTGGACAACACATATTTGTTAATTAATACAAGGAATGGTTGTAGGAGGATTCATTTATAAAACGAGATGCAGGAAACAAAGAAAACCTTGACTAAAAGTTGGGCAAGAATGGCGGTAGCTCTGTGGAGGTCAACTGCCTACCTAGCATGTATAAGACCCAAATTCTGTCTCCCACACCATCCCAAAAGATGTTGCTGGGGAACAAAAATCCCCCTGCATTTGCCATCTGGTTGAGATGGTGGTGCCTTCTGGACTGGGGAACAATTCTCTCACATGGGACTTTTCCTTTAGAGAGATGTAAGGATGAACAATATGTCATAACTTACATCTGTAATCTTGCCATTGCATGGACTTAGTGTATGGCCTACAGAGTTGTCAGCCTGATGGTCACATGTGGCGTGGTCTTCTTATACTTGTCCTTGAAGAGCTCAGGTGTTATTGACCTGTGATGTTGCCTTTGTCCTTCTGAGAAGCTAGCTTTCTTAGCAGATCATCGTGACAGTGTGGGATACACACTTTTTAGTGCTCTGACCATGTAACTGACCAGCCTTACTACACTTACCGTGGTTGTTTCCCACCAGGACTCTGGATTTCTTGATGCTGGCAAGTCATGGCGTAGAGCAGCTCACTGGTGGCCAGCGAATGCAAGGATCTCTGTAGCAGATGACTCGGGGTCTTGGGGATGCTTCTGGCTGTTGTTCTCCCAAACCTTTGTGGCAGGCTGGGAACACGGCTCAAGATCATTGCCTCCATGTTGGACCATGCCCTGGGGCTTCTTTCCTCCTCCAGGGTCCTCCCAAATCTCAGGGGCAGGTTGGCTGCTGAGTGGGGCACTTTGTTGGCAGGGGCTGGGCTCATCTTAATAACGTTCTTTGCCCCCCAATCTTTTAGTTCCTGAAAACTGACACTTCGTTCCTTTTCCCCTTTTGTGATTCCTCTGGGCTATAATTAGAAATGGCAATTAAAATAATTTATTATTATTACAAGCCATAGATTAAACCCTAAATTAACTTAAATCCAGACTTTAATCTGCAGACTTGCTCTGGCTATAAACAAAGTTTGCGTTCCTATATGCAGAATTTTTAAATAAATAATTTGTATTAAGCTTCTTAAAGCAATCTAGTTTCTCTGTCCCTTGACTATTATAAGACAACCATAAAATATTAATAAAAATATATATAGTGAGTGCAGCAGTATGTTTAAGCAGCAGGGATATAATGAAGTATTGAAACGAGGTGAAAGTTTATTTTATTACAGTCATTCTCTTTCAGGTTTTTGATTTATATTGTTTATGGAATATTTTTATATGTTTATATTATGACTTTAGAGAAAACTCCCATTCCCTCTGCAGGCCTCGTGTTTCGCCTCCCCCCTTTAAAGGCCAAGTGGCACACAGAATTGGATCCAGCCTGGCCAGGGTATGGGTCTCGGCATTTCCACTAAGTTTCTCTATTTGCTCTGTCATAGCCTAAGTTCCATTCTAAAACCATGTTTCAATAAACCAGTTGCTCTTTAAGTAGACTACAAATGACATTTTCAGTGAAGAGTCGAAGTTCATTTGTGAGTTACTTTACTTCCAGCAAACCTACTTATCCAACCCACATGAAGTGCAGTGGATATTTAGTTAGAATTGTGAGTTACTGTACCTCCAGCAAACCTACTTATCCAACCCACATGAAGTGAAGTGGATATTTAGTTAGACTTGGTTCTACTTTGAACATTGGACCACATTAAAAACTTAAATAACTCATTTCTGACTATAACCTAGGTGATAATACTAACCAGACATTTTGAAGAATACATAAACACTGAGAATAAACGTAGCTTTCAGCTCTCTGATGTAGGGATGGACAGTTTATCTAGATTTAAAGATGCCACAAACTTACCAGCTTGTAATTGCTAAGGAGAAAGTACAAATGCTGTACTTGTCATGCATTTCCAGCTGGAATGCATCTAGATCTTCTTTCTATTTCTCTTTATTACAAGCATGCACCTCTGAGTCAACTGATGTGTACGAATTCACCTTTTCCTTGCTAAATATGATGCTCCAAGTGCAGTACACTTGTCATTAGAGAGGCCAGGTTGATTGCTATTGTGCTACATTTTGCAAAGTGGCAACATGTATTGTCACAGAAAAGCTGAAGTGTGACAGAAAACGAAAATAAAAAATAAAACAAATTATAATCTTATTTTTTGTTTACTCTCTGCATAAGCATTAGATTCAGGAAAATAGTGTGTGCATGTATATATGTATAGAATGTCATTCGTATTAGTGGGTACATACAGAATGTCATTCATATTAGTGGGTACATACAGAATGTCAGTTACATTAGTGTGTACAAATAGAAAGTCAGTTACATTAGTGTGTATGTATAGAATGTCTATTGTATTAGGTAGATTTTAAGACTTACCTGGGAATATTTGTCATCCTTTTCTTTGCTGTGACAATGGGGCATCATTAATTCATCTGTACAGAAGATGTTTGATGTCAGTAAGCTTGAAGTGGCTAAAGTCAACAAAATGAATCGTTTTGATGAAATAATTTCCATTTTGTCTAAATCCAAAATTGAGTTAATATGTTCAGCCTGGTGTCTATGAGCCTACGAGAAGGGAGCTCACAGTGTTTTTATACTGTGACAGATGAATTCCACACATTTTAAATAGTAATATTAATTAGAGTGTGTAACTAAAATATGCATGTAAGGAATGAGTTTAATTCATTCTGGGGGACAGCAATGTCTGTATTTGCAAATCCATTGACTTTGAAAAGATCCTTCCTCATTAGGAAGGCTCTCCTAATTAGGTAAGATTTGGGGCACCAGTCATCAGGATTCCAAACAAACAGGATGTTTTATTTCTCTGGGTTTAAACAAGAAATCTTTTGTTTTTGGTGCTTTTGTTAGTTGTTGAGGGAAGCTTAAAAAGAAAAATAAAAGGGCGGGGGATTCAATACACACTAGACAAAAGAGTTAGGCATAATATTTTCAAAATGTCAAACCAAATTAAGAATGTGAAAAAAGTTGCAAGTCACCATAGTATCCCAATAAAATGACGTGGATTAATTATTTTTGTAAAATGTTGTTCGGTTAGTACAAAGCTCCAAGAGTAAATGTCAGCCGTCAGGTGAGAATGAGCAGCAGAGAGAATGTTCAGAAGGCCTTCAGGGAGACAGTTCAGCCACTTTGTTATCTGCCCTGAGGGCCTAATTTGGCAAATGTGTTTAAATCACCAGGATTTTATTTTTGTAAAGACACCACGTCCTACCTTCCTGTTCAAAATCCACAAGTTAAAGAGTCTAGCAGGGGACGAGTCAGTCACACACACACGCTCCTTTTGTTGCTCCCAGGGCCCACATTATTTATGTAATCTCACTTTGCCACAGGCACACTGACATCATGGCGTTAAAAGAGAATTTATAGAAATAAATGTGTATTTACTGAAATGCCACAATGAGTCCCTTTTGGAGTAGGTGACTGGTGTCCTTAAAGACTTGCCTTATCACCAGACCCACTGCTCCAGAGAAGCCACTATGGGTCCCCTAAGAGAACTAGACCTCACTTGGAGTTCCATCTGCTTCCAGACGGAGGCACTCAGGGTGACTTGATGAAGACATCTATCATTGCTGTGTGTTTTTCTCAATCTCTCTCTCTCTCTCTCTCTCTCTCTCTCTCTCTCTCTCTCTCTCTCTCTCTCTCTCTCTCTCTCTGTAACCTCGGTGGTGAGATGGCAGAAGCGACCCCTCTGCTCCATCCTGAAGGTCTCCACAGTAAGCCAGAGTAAGCAGTAGGCAAACTCTCCATGGTTCTAATAACACACTGGCCTGTGACCTCTCAAGGCAGTTGACTTTGTGGGCTTCGTTTGTTTTGGTCTGTGGTAGCCCAAAATCCCCACAGTAGGAGGCAATTAATTCAATTCATAGTCTTGTGTTAATTTTGTAATGCTGTTATTGGATTATTTGGGTTTTAATTTCCCTTAGGATTTAATACACTTCTCTTCCAAATTGTTCTTTTGTAAACTGCTGATGGAACTTCCCTTTTTGTGGTCAGTAGATCCAAACTTTTGAGAAATGGATGAAGCAAGAGACAAGGTGTTTTTTTTTCCCTTCAAGTTCACACCCTGGGAAAAATAGAAGACACGACCCCCATGGTCTCTAAAATTTGGTTTGTGTTTAGTCCTTTCCAAAGAATGCAGAACTTTTAAATAGGCCACTGGTTTCAGTGGTGCTGAGGGTAGGGACACATCAGTTAGAGGTTATTCTTGTCGACATCTGGAGGAGCCCCTGTGACTAACTACCCTCCTGCTCCACCAGATAAGGTTTCGTATTATAAAAATCCTACTAAAATAGAAGTTGGCTGTTTTCTCCCATGTTTTTTATTTTAGTGTTGAGAAGTTTAACAAACAGAGAACCACACTGTAGAACGTACATTGCATGAAACCACCATATACTGTTGGTGAAATGTACCACTGCATACATCTATATGGATTTAGAAGTCTGGGACTTCTTGGTGATATATACAGACATACAAAATGTACTTGTGTTTCTTTCTGGTTTGTGCTATTCGTGTACATGCTTTACTTTTAAGTTCTGTTTAAAGATTACAAAAATACTGTGTGTGCATGTGTGCTCATGGCATGGCACATGTGTGGAGGTCAGGGGACAACTTGCTGCAACAGTTCTCTCCTTCTCTCATCCAGGTCCTGGGGAACCGACTCAGGCTGTCAGACTTGGTGACAAGGGCCCTTACCCACTGAACCATCTCTCCAGCCCCAGAGGATTAATTTTAAAGGGGAAAAGGCATACACTGGCGCTGAAGTAGACTATGTAGAAAGAAAGCAAATCATCTAGGATTCAGATCATACTGGAGAAGATATGGGTGGCAGAGAAATTTGCTACTGTCTCCGGGTCAATGCTTGTCCACACCACAGGCGTGAGACAGTCTGGGTGCAGGTGAAGAACTGGGATTCCTGTGAGACTCCTGGGAACTTTTCACCGGGATTCGATGTGGGTGAGCACCATGGTGTCCCCCACATGCACCAGTGGCAGCTATGCTGAGAGAACAGTGAAGCAAATGACCCCGAAGCCAGAGTCTTTTCTAGCACAACGTGCCCCCTGAGTTCATTAAGTTGTTTGTAGATTTGAACATTGTACTCAATGGTAGGCAATATTTTTCCATACTCATCACATGCCAAGACCCATTCTAAGTACTTTGTGGATTTATTAACTTTCTTTCTATTCCATGGGAACAACAGCTAAGGTTCAGAAAGGGAAATGGAGATGTTTATATAGGTGTCAGATCCAGGACTGGAACTCAGGTGTGGACAATTACTGATTATTCTAGTGAGGTCTGGTCTCTTCTAATGTCTGTAGAGTTTTTAAGCTTGCTGATTTTTTTCCCATCTCCACCACAGTCATCGTTTCCTCTGGTTGAGAACACTTACTTGCTTACATGCAAGTATGTGCTGGTGACAACAGAGGCCAGAAGAACTGTCATATCCCCTGGAACTGAAGTTAAATACAGTTGTGAGCCACAGTGCAGGCATTAGGAACGGGACCTCAGGTCTCTGCAAGAGCAGCCAGTGCTCTTACTCACTGAGCTGTGTTTCCAGCCCCTCCCCCTTTTCTTCTTAGGCACTTTCTCCACAATGCAATCATTTATGACTTTCCTAATCCTTCCAATGGTTTCCGGTTTACCTCCGAATCACTCAGAAAGCCCACATCTGTAACCTGTCTGCTGCTTGTTTCTCTGGCTTGACTCTTCCCTCATCTCTGCTCCCTAAGAATCCTTTTCCTCCAAATGGTTGTACTTTCTCTCTGCCAGTGCCCATGATATGCTTGGGGACAGAGTATCTGTCTATTTGTCTGTGTCTTTCTCACACACAGTAAGTGCTTGGGTCTCAGTGGAGGCATCACACGCTGTGAGAAGTCACTCTTGATGTGCAACTTCAAGCGACAGCTAGTTTTTCCTCACTTACCTCTGCCCTGACCAGTCTGTCTTGCCATGACCACCTCCCTTCCCCACCAACATTCTGTAGACTCAGAGAGCAGAGAAGGACGGTGCCAGTGCAGATCAGAGCGTGTTGTCTATTGCAAGGGTACTCAGGAACATTTTACTTTGAAATGAACGAATACTTTTCCATTAGTATCGAAAGTAGGTGTTATAGCTGGAGTGGTCTGCCCACCAGTTTTGTTCAGAATTTCATCTTGACTATGAGAGAGGATGCTCTTGACTAGAGCCTGAGTTTGCGGCTTTCTTGAAATCAGAAAGTGTTAATAGTCTCTTGTTGGACTGCAAGGCTCTCAGAATGAGGCTCTTCTTCCTGTTCAATCAGGTATGAAGGGATCAGGTGTATGGCAGATCTTATTTTCAGTGCTGGGGGCTCTGAACCTGATGCTTTATCCATTCTAGGCAAATGCCCTGCCACTCGAGGCTCATCTGGTTGCAGTTAATCACACCTTGAGAAGGTCAGTGGGCTCCAGTGGATCTTGCTGAGTTCATGGGAATCTATTGTGTTCAAAAAAAAAAAAAAAAAAGCGAGGGCTTCCTGGCAGTGCTCAGGCTCTCCCACAGAGCAGCAGACTTGGGTACAGGGCTCTCTGCTTACTATCTTTCTATGCCTATTAGATACTTCCTGCTCTCTGCCAAGTAATAATCATGGGGAAGAAATAGTTTCTACCAATGAGGAATGGACGTGATCTACGTTCAAAAGGTGCTGCTCTACCCGGGCTTCTGGTAAAGAACTTAAACTATGAGATTGTGTACCATGGGCTGCACATATTTTAAAATCCTGTGTTGAAGGAACATCTCACTTAACTCATAGAGGCATGCTTCCCAAGCTATGGGAAAGATCTACTAGGGTGGCCAATTTTAATGTCCAGAGGACCTGGTTATGGAGTCCTGTTCCCACTCCCGACCCAGCCATTTAGTTCTGGGCCATTTGCCTTTTCCAATGTTTGCTTCTTCCCACCTAAGCGCAATCCAATTGCTGAGTTCCACAGAAGAATGCATGGGGGGTATTAGACGCTTACTTTGTGTTTCATGTCTCCAAAGTGTTTTGCAACCATCTGTTAAACTTTGGCCCTTTTAGAGTGGGATGGGAGGTGGTATTATGGTATAATTAATTTCACTATTATGCATGGCAGAGAGAGAGAAAAAAATACCTGTCTTTGTTCCAAGTAAAGCACCATGTACAAACTGTATTCAATTATTATTTTAAAAATGTAATCCTCTTCTTTGAGAATTATGAGTCTCTTGTTATAATGAACTTGTCATATTTTGATTGCAAGACTTTATTTACGGCTTGGCTTTCTCTGTGACAGATGACAATGGTAGGCCTGGGAAGGTGCTGAGGCGAATGTGAGACAAAGATTATTTCTCCATGTAGTGAGAGATGTCGAAATTCAGTGCTAGTTGAAGTAACCTAAAGAATCAATTTGTACAATGCAAGAATAGACATAAAATATTTATAAAAAATAATTCATATGATTTATTCTTGGAGGGTGAGGAACTGGCTGAATTCCCATGTTGGGAGGAGTTTTTTTTTTTACAGCAATATATTGAATAAACCTCCAGTATTAGATCTTAGAAGTAGTGGAATTT